ACTAAATTCACGGTTGTGCTCCCATTATCAATGTGTATACTCTGAAACTCTAGTGGTCTACAACAACTACACATCTGACTACAGAAGACTAGGGAATGTGGAAAGTCATGCGGCCATTTGCAACCTCACTGCGACCCACAGAAAGGTTACAATGGCTAAAATTGTTTATTAAACCACCCCAGTTAGTGATTGTGTGTGGCTCTCATGACATCACAAATGTGACCCATATGGCTCTTATGACATCACAAATGTGACCCAAATGGCTCTCATGACATCACAAATGTGACCCATATGGCTCTCATGACATCACAAATGTGACCCATATGGCTCTCGTGACATCACAAATGTGACCCATATGGCTCTCATGACATCACAAATGTGACCATATGGCTCTCGTAACATCACAAATGTGACCCATATGGCTCTCATGACATCACAAATGGGACCCATATGGCTCTCATGACATCACAAATGTGAACCATATGGCTCTCATGACATCACAAATGTGACCCATATGACTCTCATGACATCACAAAGTGACTATATGGCTCTCATGACATCACAAATGTGAACCATATGGCTCTTATGACATCACAATTGTGACCCATATGGCTCCCATGACATCACAAATGTGACCTGTATGGCTCTCATGACATAAAACATGTGTCCCATATGGCTCTCATGACATCACAAATGTGACCCATGTGGCTCTCGTGACATCACAAATGTGACCCAAATGGCTCTCAGAGTCTGGTGTATGGCTTAGACTCTTCCATGTGGGCCCGCAGCCCTTGTGTTAGAATTTGCATCTAAACAGATTTTTATCTTTCTTTTACAATTACCCTTAGCTTTCAGTTCAGCTTAACAGGGGTACAAGGTAAAGTTCTGGGAAATATAAGCAGTCTGTAAGCCCCATTTCCCACCGAGTGCCAAAGGGTCTGTAAAAAAATTTGCTACCAAGTTAAATGTTTTACTTATTTTACTTACATGTAAACTAACAAATAAACCATTCACCTGTGACATACAGCTACAGTCGGACGTTTGGTAAAAGCCTTTATCGAAACGCACAACAGCAACAACAACAAAAAAACAAAAAAAAAAACAACAACACCGCGAGACAGTCTTATCCCCGAGTTCCCAAAAGGGCGGTCATGTGAAAAACTATAAAATAATGGAAGAGGAAAAGATGATGGGCAACGAAACAAACAAAGGAAGGAAACAACATAATGATAGTGATGAACATGGCAACAGTGGCGATAAAAATGAAATAATAAATCAATGTAACAATATTAAAAGTAAAAATAATTATATTATTTAGATGAAAGTATGCAGACTGTCGATTCCTGAAGTATCGTATCGTATTGTATAAAATCAAACAAAAATTCCAAGCTTAGTCCTTTTTTTAGCCGCCTGATGGCCTGCTTTCTCAAGGACGGTTCCTTTGCTTTCTTATTTTATTTATCTTCCTTTGTGGTGAGCAATTACACCTGAGTTTGCTCATTGGTTGCCTAAGTTCTGGTTTTGATGGGTCCTGATTCCTGTTTTAGTTGGCTATCCGCTAGCTGTTGCACTGTTCATCTGTGCTAGTACCAAGTCAGTCCTCAGCCACACCACCGCGAAACAAACAGTGTCAGAATGTCTAAGCTATTTATAAGACGATTTTCCAAAATAGGAAACTCTTATTACCCCCCCCCCCCCCCACCCGCCCCTTAGGTAAGGTTCTTAGTTACAGTTCGGTGGTTTAATTTCTTGATATTGGTTCCTATTTTCTTCATTTTTAAACATATAAATTAATTAGCAAATGCGAATGTGGAATGTCAGTTTTAAAAATAAATTTATGAAAAATATTTGAGAATTGGCTTTATTAGTATTATTATGCAGTTAAATTATATTTTTGTTAAAACTCGAATTACTCGAAGTGGATTGCGTCAATAAAAACCTAATTAATTTATAATTAGCGGAATAAAATTAGAAAAATATATGCATATCCTGTTTGTACACTTTTTACATAAGCGTTGTCTTAAAGACGTTTTCTGTGAGCCAAATAAATTAAGCAGGCATCAACAAAATAGCAAACAGAGGTATTAAAACAATGTTTAACGCAAAACACATGACATGGTCAGTTATCGTGTTATTAAAAAATGACAGAAAGACTGCAGGAGTGACCAGAAGAGGTAAAATTAGGAATTCGGTCAAAAGAGAAAATCTCCGCACAGAACTAGTTCTAAATTACATACAAAGACAGCAAACTAAATCTTCCACTTAGAGAGAATGCCTTGTGATGCCATACAATTTAAAGCATATACAAAAAAAAAAAAAAAAGGAGGTGGAAGATGAGAACGATGTAGACAACGAACACAATGGAAAGATAACGTCAGAGAAACTCTACAACGGTACCATGTGTCTATGGTCGAGACGACCAGAAGAGCAACAAGCATAACTTTACTTCTCCCTCGACACTTGAAGCGATAAAAAGGGATTTAAAGAAGAAAAGAAAAGATTTTAGTAACGTTTTCCGATCCAGAAAGAGAGTGACTTCTCTTGCCATTCATGTCTTGCAGTGTCGCAGGGCCTGTCCTATACTGCGGGGGGGGGGGGGGGGTGTTATGCATAGTGACCGGCCACCAACGCGTAGTATTTTACCGGCTGTAAATTTCATGAAGTAAGCGCTTTTAACGGTTCCCAAAACATCAAGAACTGGCCCTAACTCCACCTCCTCCCCCACCCCCAGAGCCTTAGCGTACGTCCCATGAAAAAGTGCAGCCTATGTCCCACGACTGAATGCAGCGTATAATATATTGCATCACTGTTTTTCAAAAAGCGAAACTCCACGCCATAAAATGTACCCAAGTGGAGAACAATCTTAGTGGAGGGTTTTCTGTAGTCCGAACTGGCTAAGCACCAGTCTCTGGGTCCCTCATGACAAGATGTTACGCACATAGCTCAACTGTGCCAAGCTCCAGACATATCTTTTGCCAGTTTATGAAAGGCTGTCTGTCCCAAAACTATTTAATAGATGTGCTGAAAAAAAAAACTTTGAATTCAAATGAGTGTTTCCACAGCCTGATCTGGGCTCGCTGTACTAAAGACAAGTTTGCCTCACGCAAGCGCGTTCAATTTGCTGTTGTAACTGCAGCAAGAGAGTTCAACTTTGGTGCTGTTGCTGCCAAAGATATTGTGAATTGTGTGTGTGTTTGTTTTTTTTAAATTGATTTTCTAAAAACCTGCATATGAGGAGACTAGGAGCATCTAGCATGCAGAAAAGAGTTAGAAACAGCTTGAAATATAAGGACAAACTAAAAGACGCAACAAATGAATTACATGCCCTAGAGGGAGGTCGTACTTATGCAGCAGGGTTGTTCTAAGGATCATGTAACATCAGCAACTGTTTTTTTTTTTTTTTCTGCGTATAAAATTTTTTTTAAAGCATTAAAATAATTTTATAAGAAAAATAAAACATGAAAAAAAAAAAAAAAAAAAAAAAAATGAACACATAAACTCTCGCACACTACTATTACCACGTTAATACATACTACTATTACCACGTTTTACATACTACTATCAACACACAAACGCTCACATACTATTGTTTACACGCAAACTATCACATGCTACTATTAACACACAAACGCTCAGATTCTACTATTACCACTCAAACGCTAAGACTCAGATACTACTATTAACACGCGCAAGTTAACATACAGTTAACATGCAAACGTTCACATACAGTTAACATGCAAACGTTCACAGACTACAGTTAACCCGCAAACGTTCACAGACCACAGTTAACATGCAAACGTTCACAGACTACAGTTAACCCGCAAACGTTCACAGACCACAGTTAACATGCAAACGTTCACAGACCACAGTTAACCCGCAAACGTTCACAGACTACAGTTAACCCGCAAACGTTCACAGACTACAGTTAACATGCAAACGTTCACATACAGTTAACATGCAAACTTTCACAGACTACAGTTAACCCGCAAACGTTCACAGACTACAGTTAACCCGCAAACGTTCACAGACTACAGTTAAAACGCAAACGTTCACAGACTACAGTTAACATGGAAACGTTCACTGTCTACTATTAACACGCAAACGTTCACAGACTACAGTTAACACGCAAACGTTCACAGACTACAGTTAACACGCAAACGTTCACTGTCTACTATTAACAGGCAAACTTTCACATACTACTATTAACACACAAATATTCACATACTACTATTAATACTCAGGCGCTGATATACTACTATCAACACTCAAGCACTGATATTAACACGCTGATACATACACAAACTCTCATATACTACTATTAACACGAAAACGCTCACATTCTACTGTTAACATTCAAAACCTGGATACTACTATTAATAGAGAGACGCTCACATACTACTATTAATACTCAACGCTGATATACTACTATTAACACTCAAGCGCTGATATAAACACGCTGATACATACACAAACACTCACCTGCTACTATTAACACTCAAGCGCTGATATAAACACGCTGATACATACACAAACGCTCACATACTACTATTAATACACAAACGCTCACATACTACTATTAACACTCAAGCGCTGATATAAATACGCTGATACATACACAAACGCTCACATACTACTATTAAAACACAAACGCTCACGTACTACTATTAAAACACAAACGCTCACGTACTACTATCAAAACGCAAATGCTCACATACTACTAAATACACAAACGCTTACATACTACTGTTAAAACGCAAATGCTCACATTCTACTATTAATACACAAATGCTCACATTCTACTATTAATACACAAATGCTCACATTCTACTATTAATACACAAATGCTCACATTCTACTATTAATACACAAATGCTCACATTCTACTATTAATACACAAACGCTCACATACTACTATTAAAACGCAAATGCTCACATACTACTGCTAACACGCAAATGCCCTCATTCTCCTGTTGACACTCAAAACCTGAATCTGCCCACAGGTACATGCTAGGTCTTGGAGCAATCCCGTCCAGCATACAGTTCCTTGGATTCCTCTTCATGCCGGAATCGCCAAGATGGCTGGTCAGCGCCGGGAGGGAGGAGAAAGCCCGGCGCGTGCTGCAGAATATGCGAGGTGCCTTGGACATTGAAGAAGAATATGAAACAATCAAGCAGTCGTGCACGGAGCTGCAGCGGGAGGAGGCCAGTCGAGGTAACTGTTGGAAATCTGGATATTATGTTTGCCTTCTAGTGTGAACAAAAAGTATTTCACAAGTATAGGGGGGGGGGGGGGAGGGGAAGGCTTGGCAGGGCTTCGGAACTAGGTCCCATAGGTGTCTCTAGCCTGCTTCTTTGAAAGAAATTATAAGTCATTAGGCCCCCCCCCCTCCCCACACACACACACATACAAACAAACATCATATGTGGGCGTCCCTTTTTAAAAGTATTTTAATACATTTCTTATTACTTTTAATAGCGTATTTTGACATTTATTTCTTAATAATCACATTTTTAGTATAAAAACATGGTTAAATGAGGCTTATTGCCCTCGAGTCCCGATCCACTACATAATATCTTCTAATGGGACTAACCTCCGCGCCTCCTTGTTTTCTGTGTGACAAGCGCCTACATTAAAAAATGTATTGCCTCGCAAAAATCTATGAAGCTAGTCTTGTGAGACTTGTTCACATCAACCTGCCATGAAACTGAAAAAAATACTCCTTTTTTTATTCGAAATACACACAACGAAGATTACTTAAATGCAATTTTTTTTAGAGCTGTATCTAATCATGTGCTTACGAGAGTAGCAACAGTACTTTTTTTTTACAAGTTGTGTTGTCTCCATAATGCAGGTTCACTGCAACATATCAACCGCTAACTATGGGAATATTAGAGAGAACCGCGCAGTGAGAGTGGCTAGGTCTGAATACGTAATGTTCCCAGGCAGCCCTGGATATTTTGCAGCAGATCTGTCGTGTGTGCTGTCCATCAAGATGATGATGACCACTCTTTTTAATCAAGTATGAGGACGAAGATGACCGATGAGGCCGATGCGGGCCAGAAAAGTTCTTGGACAGTGAGGGCAGGGAATGAACGTTGTGCCAGGGAGGAGATCTCCCGCAGTCGCCTTTCTGTCCATCCTTTTCTTAATAAGTCTTGCTGTTCTGTTTGCATTACATGTAGCCGCGCTCTACTGTAGATCTGCACGCCATGCATTTCGGTCTTGAGAGGCAGCCTCCCAATTGGTGTCATTCATCCCAAATGCTTTGAGTGAAGACTTCAAGGTTTCCTTAAAGTGTTTCTTTTGCCCGCCTTGGGGACGTTTCCCATTTTCAGCTCACCACGGAAGAGTTTTTTTTTTGAGCCTGTGATCTGGCATGCGTGCCACATGACCAACCCAACGAATCTGATATTGCATCAGTAGAGTGTGGATGCTTTCTCAAGGACTACGGCATCAGGTACTTTATCTTGCCATCTGATGTACATTAGTTTTCTAAGGCAGACCATCTGATATGCATTAGTTTTCTAAGGCAGACCATCTGATATGCATTAATTTTCGAAGTAGACTGTGTGAAAGTGGTTTAACTTTCTAGCCTGACGCTGGTATACAGTCCATGTTTCACATGCGTACATCAGTGTAGTTAAAACAACTGCTTTGTATACTTTAAGCTTTGACTGCATAATGTAATTTAAGGCTCAATTTCGCATATAGGTGTAAACTGGAGGGTGATTTGGTCAGTATTATGTCATCCGACTTTACTTCCCATGACATCGCCTGGTAGACATGGAATTCCCTCCTGCCTGCACCACAAAAAGTGGTAATGCAGGCAGTAATTGGCAGTTTTTGGCACACATGGAAGTCAAAGTCACTGTTGAAAGAAAGAAATTCACGTCAAAGCATGATTACTAACTGGATGTAAAAAAAAAAAAAAACATTTAAAAAATTCATACCTGTTGGTTTCAGGTCATACCCCGATTATCGTTCAGATGCTGCAGGTTCCCTCAGTGCGGCGATCTCTTCTAGTTGGATGCAGTCTGCAGATTATCCAGCAGGTTGCTGGCATCAACACGGTCATGTAAGTGTGTACCAGATGTCTGTGTCTCAACTAGATATGTAATCAATCAGTCTCATGTAAGTGTGTACCAGATGCCTGTGTCTCAACCAGATATGTAATCAATCAGTCTCATGTAAGTGTGTACCAGATGTCTGTGTCTCAACTAGATATGTAATCAATCAGTCTCATGTAAGTGTGTACTAGATGTCTGTGTCTCAACCAGATATGTAATCAATCAGTCTCATGTAAGTGTGTACCAGATGTCTGTGTCTCAACCAGATATGAAATCAATCAGTCTCATGTAAGTGTGTACTAGATGTCTGTGTCTCAACTAGATATGTAATCCACCAGTCTCATGTAAGTGTGTACCAGGTGTCTGTGTCTCAACCAGATATGTAATCAATCAGTCTCATGTAAGTGTGTACCAGATGTCTGTGTCTCAACCAGATATGTAATCAATCAGTCTCATGTAAGTGTGTACCAGATGTCTGTGTCTCAACCAGATATGTAATCAATCAGTCTGATTTAAGTGTGTACCAGATGTCTGTGTCTCAACCAGATATGTAATAAATGTCTCATGTAAGTGTGTACTAGATGTCTGTGTCTCAACCAGATATGTAATCAATCAGTCTCATGTAAGTGTGTACCAGATGTCTGTGTCTCAACTAGATATGTAATCAATCAGTCTCATGCAATTGTGTACCAGATGTCTGTGTCTCAACTAGATATGTAATCAATCAGTCTCATATAAGTGTGTACCAGATGTCTATGTCTCAACCAGATATGTAATCAATCAGTCTCATGTAAGTGTGTACCAGATGTCTGTGTCTCAACCAGATCTGTAATCAATCAGTCTCATGTAAGTGTGTACCAGATGTCTGTGTCTCAACTAGATATGTAATCAGTCAGTCTTATGTAAGTGTGTACTAGATGTCTGTGTCTCAACCAGATATGTAATCAATCAGTCAGTTTTTGGTTGGCTGCCATGGGTCTCCAAAGCACCGCTGTCTCTTGTCATGGTAATTCACTCACTCTATCAGACCCGTTTTCGTCCATCTTTAGATGTTGTCCTTCCAAACGTTTCATTGTCTGTCTCTTGCTGTCTTGCCTTAGACTTTTCCCTCCAGTATGGTTTAAAAAAAAAGAATGTTATGTCTTTCAATTGTCTCTTTTTCCCCCTCAGTAACTCTCTTTTCATGCTTTTCCCACGAGAACCTCATTTTTTTTTTACTGTTGATGTTTCCATACCATAAGCTTATTCCTATGTATAAAATTGGTAAGCGTGCAAACATTGTTAGTATGTATATTATGTTTATGTTTGTACCAGATATGTTAGTTTGTACAACATGCGTATGTGGGAATCAGATAAATGTGTACGAAATAGGTAAGTGTGTCTAATAGTGACTTTTGTAATAAATATGCTAGCATGGGCGAAAAGTGTCTGCTATATATATGTCAGTAAATACAGTATTTAATATGTGAATGTGTACCTGATGTGTAAGATTGCCCCTGTTATGTAACTTTAATCTGACATATGGGTAACAAATATGTAAATACCATACACTTTAGCGCATTGTATACACATGAGTGTGTACCAAATTTGTAAATGTGAACTAGAAATGTAAAACTGCACCTGCTGTTTAGTTATATAACCGCCGCGTAGGTGTGTGCAAGGTAATTCGTTCATTCCTTTGTCCTGTGGTGTCATTGTATGTCACATAGGGCTAGCAGTCTACTCCTCCATTGTGTTCTATCTTGTGCGTTCAGTTCAATATCATGGATGCAATCCAATCCAGCAGCTTTGGCCTCGGTCATCAAACTTGTCCTATAGATTTTTTTGGGCGTCCTCGCCACTTTTCTCTTATTTCCCATTTCAGTGCCTGTTTGGTGATTCTTTGTTGGTTTCTTCTCAAGATGTGTGCATTGTAGCACCATCTTCTCTGTCTTATACCTGTTGCTACCAGTGTTTGCTCATAAATGTCTCTTATTTCTTCACTCCTTTTGAATTCATCCTTTTTTATTTTCATCATTTTCCCCAGACATTTGTTTCAAATTTATTTAGCTTTGGCTTCATGTTTTAAGTAGTTCTCTAACTTTCACCTGCATATGTTAAAACTGAAATAACATAAATCTGAAGATTCTTAACTTGGTTTTAAATTATACAATCTATTTAGAGTTCCATTTTTGTGTTCAAGCTATTAAAGATACTGATGCCTTGCCAATGCGTGTTATAATTTTATTCCTCAGTATAAAATTACTACTGATTTTTTTACTTTAATTAACTTTTGTCTCTAGTGTTACATCTGCTTGATCTATTTTGTTGGTGTCTTCAGTATATTTCAAGCAGATAATTAATTACTTGAGAGATATTCAAATCTGTATCATATATGTAGGCAATCCGATGGATAATAATGCAATCGTAATTTTCTTAGTAACATTTAAACTTTCATCATTGGCCATCATCTGTTCGTCCATCCCTGACTAGTTGTTTTACTTGGTATACTATTTGGTTTACACACTGAAGGTCATATTTTTACATTTGGACTCAAAGTCAGTACACTTCTTTTTTTTTTAAGATATGCATGTGTATTGGGTAATAAACAAACAGACAGACTGGTTGGGGCTGCACCACAGGGTGATGACGCCAAGGCCCTTTGTGAACAACTGCATCTTGAGGAAGGGCGAATAGGTCATTACTGTGTGCCAAGAATGGCGCGGTGGGGGCTGACCAGAGAATGCGGCCAGGACTTTGCACTCGGAGGAAAGACAAGGCAGACATAAAACGAAACTGCTATCATCCGAATTGGAAGTTTTTTGCTGGCTGCTGAAGATAAGGACGTGTGAGAATGTCCTGAGTGCTGTGATATCGGTCTTGACTCAGCTCGACCTTGTTATTCTATTCATGGTTGCAATTGTTTCAGAGATCCCTGGAATGGGAGGTTGTCATCACTGAATCCACGAAGGTCACGCTGTGTGCGATGTGTATCGGTGGATTGAAAGATGTCATCCAATCTGCTGTTACCGTATGTCGAGTGAGAGAGAGAGAGAGAGAGAGAGAGAGAGAGAGAGAGAGAGAGAGAGAGAGAGAGAGAGAGAGAGAGGGAGAGAGGGGTAGAGAGAGGACCAATCTGGTTTGGATCAAGCCTGCAACTAGTGCTGTATTGAAGTTAGCCCTGTCCACTTTTAACACACTTTTATGCTTAGGCAGTCCTAATTTTCGAACATGCCAGTTAATGTTAAACCTGGCTTTCTTCAAAAATAACCTTGGCTCCCAGGTGGACCCAGCCTTTAGTGGGTACCAGGTGTGGTCCTGGGAAGTCAAGGCGACTAGCGTGATGTTGACCACATCACCCACCGAGTGTCGTTTGGTCTATGAAACTAGCCCTATATACCCATTACGCCTGAAGGCGCGGAAAGGAGTCCTTCACTCTTTTACCTACTAATAATCTACATTTACTTCTATGATTTTAGGTATTATTCTGCCACCATCATTCGAATGTCTGGAGTAAAGAGTGACGAGGCCGCCATCTGGCTGTCAGCAGTGACAGCAGCCGTCAACTTTCTGTTCACCCTGGTAGGTCTTTACCTGGTAGAGAGGATTGGGAGGAGGCCACTGACGCTGGGCAGTCTCATGGGAGCCATTGTTAGTTTAGCCTGGCTGGCCGTTGGCTTCCACCTGTCCGCCTTAAATACGCCACCTATTGATGTGGTGGAGCAAGTGGCCACAGCATCTCACTGCTCAAAATATAGGTACTGGTTTGTGTCCGTTATTTTTTTTCTTGGTAATCAAAGTGTTTTATTTGATGTGTACTTCATCGACAGAGAGCAGATTTGTAGGACACTACGTGAAAGCTGAAGATATCTGGTTCTATAGAAGAATAAGGACTAAACCAAGAAGAGAGCACAGGAGACATGAGAATGTATGTAAAGCATTTAACCTAGAAACCGAACATTACCCGAACCAGAAGAAGGTAAATTACGATCTGTGGGCACATTCAGAGACGGTTAAACAGCTATACATCGGATTAGGCAGAAAGCTGTGGTGAAAGAGAAGCAGAGGAGACCAAGCGAGAAGATGTTTAGCAATTTAGCATCATGGACCGGAAGGGCATACGTTTCTGAAATAATTAGCAGATGTATACACAGTTGGCAGTCAATAGACATGAGGGCAGTCGCAACACCGCATGGAGTGAGGACCCCAAAAAAAAAAAAGGGGGATGGGTGCACTTCTCTACTACTACCCTGCCTTATTGCCCTATAACTGACCTTGTACAGTGATCAATGAAACGATTGTCCACTAGTAGTTCCGTCTGAAAGCCTCTTTTTCTCTAGTCAAATCAGTTAGTTCTACCATAATCTCCCCAGCCGAACTAGGTCACTTTCAATTCATAATTTTTTAGACTCGTCTGCTGTCCGGGGGTTATGGCTATGTTGTTTCCTTTCTGGCTTATCTTGCATTTACGTTTTTCTTCCGAGAAAGAGAATGCCTGTGAAATAAGTTGCTGCACTCTCAAGTTGATTTGTGGGTCAGACCCAGTTTCTAAATGTTTTCGCAGTGTTCAAAGCGCTGGCGTGCTTAAATATACAACACGCGATATCAACAGCATTGCCGAACAACAACCCCCCCCCCCTTTTCCCAGCAGTGTGCTAAGGTCGGGTAACAGAAGGTAGACCAATCAGAAGTGAGCTAGTGTGTAATATGGAGAGATTTTCGTGGAAATGACCGCCAAATCTCTAGCTCCATGTGCTTTTATGGCCGATGCATTTTTAGTGTCCACATTCGCAGAGGTCTGCCTATGCCGTGTTTATCAGAAACGGTACACTCCATCACGGTTCTCGGCATGACTATATGCCATTTCACAAGGCCAAAATACCTCAGCCTCCGGGACACGGCACTGTTTATGAGCCAGCTATTCTCGTTGCCCAGCTCACGTAGAATATAGGTGTTTTTCTTCTTGTTCTATAGTATTCTTAGAATGTTTCTGTAGTATTTCAGTTTTAAAGCTCTGGCTCCCCCCCCCCCTCTCCCCACCCACCCTTTTCTATGATCATTAACTAAATACCAAACAAATATATATATATATATATATATATATATATATATATATATATATATATATATATATATATATATATATATATATATACACACATACTGGCATTCTATTGTTGCAACATTCTTTTTTTCTTCTTCAAATTAGTGTTGTTTTTATCAAAGATGAAATGCAATTCTAGTTGTAGATGTTGCACTGCAGACGGCTGTCTTTTTCATTTTGTCGAGACTGCAATCTGTTTTTTCACAAGGGAAAGTGATATGCGTTCTGTATGGTTTCCAGTAGCACATGGATAGAGCAGTTATGGTGTGACCTGTTTGCCATAAAGTTTGAAACTGCGAATATTAAACTAGATTATCTTTCTTTGATTTCGGAACATGTACACTAGATTTATCTTTCCTTCTTATATCTTGCCCGGTTTTCAAAATGAAACATTTTCAGTGTTTAGTGTTATCTTCCCTTGTTTTTCATAATAATATGTATATTATTTTTACTGACTATTCATTTTGTCTATCTCTTATCTCTCCCTCCCCCCCCCCCCCTTTTTTTTCCACTCCTTTTCCTCATAATAATACTGCATTTATTGATTATCTTTCTTTTATCTTGCTTAGTTTTTAGAATACAACCTGTGCTGTTGTTACTGAATATCTTTCCTGTGTGTTGTTTTGATTTCAGAATAATATATGTGCTAAACTGATTGATTTTTTCGTTTCATTTGGACTTGACTTAAAAATAAAACACATACTTCTTCATCTGTGTTCGGGTTTTGAAGGACAGTTGGCACACTGTGGTGTGATTATTCGAGGGCTGCACTATCTACCCCTTGTGGCCAAAACGCCCAGTGACAGCAAAACCTTTATTAATTTGTTTTTACAACATGCTTAAGAGGCAGGAGATCCGTTCTATGTTTCCACATAATAGTTCCAGAAACACATAGCGATCTTCTTCTTCACGTCCGTGTCGTGTGGCATTGGTTTTCATATTGTCTATCCACAACCTTCTGCCCTTTCAGTCAACTCTGACACAGATAATCTTTCATGCCATGGTGTCACACTGTCCTGCATCAGTTCTCTCGGTCTCCCTCTGCCTCTCCTCCCCTCCAACTTTCCGACCGTCAATATCTACTCCACTTTTCTCCTTCTTATTACATGATCAAAGAATTTAAATTGTCTCTTTCTGATGTGGGCTTTCAGTTCTCTTCGTGAGTCAGTTTATTTCAAGAGGTCTTCATTACTCTTTTTCCTGGCTATTCTCATCATTCGTCTACAAAACCACATCTCCGCAGCTTCTAATAAGTTTTCACTAATTTACTAACTGTCCATGATTCACATCAGTACAGAATTTATATAACTCTGAAGAATTCTTTTAATGGGGATACATATTTTAATTTATTAAATTTCTTATTTTTCTCTTGACTGGACTTGAAAATCAAGTGAATCATGGACAGTTAGCTGGTAGGTTAGTGAAAAATTATTTAGAGGCAGCAGGGATGTGGTTTTACAGACACATAAGCAGAATACACTGGATAGAGTAAGAATAGTGAAAAAAGATGTCTTGAAAGAAACTGGCTCACAAAGAGAACTGGTTGCCTACATCATAATTCAGGCTAACTTCTTTGTTCATGTCATGAGAGAAAACAAAAAACTGGAGTACATTGTGACGGTGGGGAAGGGGCTGAAAAGAGAGAGACAGCAAAAAGATGCTGGACAGTTTGACATCATAGCATGGATGATCATCTGTATCAGAACTGACTGGATGTGCTCGAGACAGAAGTTTGTGGATACACATGATTAGCAACGCCACACAGCGTGGACTATAAGAAGAAGATTTGAAAAGAATGCATTTGCTACACTGACTGCCTTTCTTCCTTCTATCCTGAATTATTTTAGAATAGTATATGTACTCTTTTTATGAATACTCTTATTTCAGATTAGTATATGTACTCTATTTTCGTAATGTATTTATTTCAAAATAGTACATGTATGTCCTTTTCTTAATGTAATTATTTCAGAATAGTATGTATACTCTATTTTCTGAATGTTTTCTTTTTATGTTGGATTGATTTCAGAACATGTAATGAATGCAGAATGGACCTTGACTGTGGATACTGCTACGTTGACCTGCCGGAGGTGGTGACAAACTCATCCTGTTTACCCACGGATTATGACAACCCTTGGACGTCAACTGTGGGCAGATGTAACAGCAGCATCCTTCCACCAACAGTCACCTGGGCCTACGACTATTGTCCGACACCCTACTCCTGGATGCCAATGGTTGGACTTGTGCTATATCTAATCTCTTTTGCCCCAGGTTTGTTCATGTGTACATGGTTGGACTTGTGTTGTATCTAATCCCTTTTGCGCCAGATTTGTTCATGAGTACATTGTTGGACTTGGGCTCTATCTAATCTCTTGTGTCTCAGGTTTGTTCATGAGTACATTGTTGGACTTGTGCTGTATGTAAGCTCTTTTGCCCCAGGCTTGTTCATGAGTACAAGGTTGGACTTGTGCTGTATCTAATCTCTTTTGCTCCAGGTTTGTTCATGAGTACAAGGTTGGACTTGTGTTGTATCTAATCTCTTTTGCTCCAGGTTTGTTCATGAGTACAAGGTTGGACTTGTGTTGTATCTAATCTCTTTTGCTCCAGGTTTGTTCATGAGTACAAGGTTGGACTTGTGTTGTATCTAATCTCTTTTGCTCCAGGTTTGTTCATGAGTACATTGTTGGACTTGTGCTGTGTCTAATATCTTTTACACCAGGTTTGTATATGAGCACATGGTTGGACTTGTGTTGTATCTAATATCTTTTGCATCATATTTGTTTATAAGTACACAGTTGGACTTGTGTTGTATGTAATCTCTTTTGTCCCAGGTTTGTTCATGAGTACAAGGTTGGACTTGTGCTGTATCTAATCTCTTTTGCCCCAGGTTTGTTCATGAGTACATTGTTGGACTTGTCTTGTATCTAATCTCTTTTGCCCCAGGTTTGTTCATGAGTACATTGTTGGACTTGTGTTTTATCTAATCTCTTTTGCCCCAGGTTTGTTCATGAGTACATTGTTGGACTTTTGCTGTATTTGTCTCTTTTGCTCCAGGTTTGTTCATGAATAAACTCATACGTGTCATTAACTCTTTTTACACTATTTTGTGTTAAATATTGATTACGGTTTTCATTCAGTCACCCCTCTTATTATCATTCATTCATTCATTCATTCATTCATTCATTCATTCATTCATTCATTCATTCATTCATTCATTCATTCATTCATTCACTCATTCACTCACTCATTGATCATTCATAGCCCTGTTGTGCCATTATATGTACCACATGATATGCAGTCTACTCCTCCATTCTGTTCATCCTGTGTCTCATAACCATATAGCAGTCCCTTGCAGAATGTCGCTCTCATCATGGTCTGCCTGAAAGAAACTCGGTTTCTCGTCAGCAATCCCGCCTCGTGTACTTTTAAATATTCAAGGAGTCACTAACCTTCTAGGCCCATCTCCGTGATGGTCGACCCCTGCCCTCTTTTTTGGCATCATGCCTTCTGCATTTATTTTATGTTTTTTTTTTTAAATCAAAATCCGCAATGACGCTTCATATGACCAAAATATTTCAGCCTCCAAGACAAGATGCTGTTGTATCATATGCAGTCACTTTAATATCATAGATGCAATCCAACCCAGTACTTTTAGTTCCTCTGGGAATACAAGTCTTCATTCGTTCTCTTTGACATCCTCGCTTCTTCAGTCCATCTATTTCTCATTTTAGTGCCTGTTCTGTGATTCTTTACCTCTCTCTTCTCATGATGTGTTCCATAGATCGTCATCTTCTCTGTCTTTTAACTGGTGATACTAGTGGTTGTCCAGACATTGTTTTAAATTAAATAAAACATATATGTTCTTTGTGTTTTTAATGGTGGCATACAAGTCTGGCCTGGTGTACAAGTCTGGCCTGGTGTACACGTCTGGTCTGGTGTACAAGTCTGGCTTGGTGTACAAGTCTGGTCTGGTGTACAAGTCTGGCCTGGTGTACAAGTCTGGCCTGGTGTACACGTCTGGTCTGGTGTACAAGTCTGGCCTGGTGTACACGTCTGGTCTGGTGTACAAGTCTGGCCTGGTGTACACGTCTGGTCTGGTGTACAAGTCTGGCCTGGTGTACAAGTCTGGCCTGGTGTACACGTCTGGTCTGGTGTACAAGTCTGGCCTGGTGTACACGTCTGGTCTGGTGTACAAGTCTGGCCTGGTGTACAAGTCTGGCCTGGTGTACAAGTCTGGCCTGGTGTACACGTCTGGTCTGGTGTACAAGTCTGGCCTGGTGTACACGTCTGGTCTGGTGTACAAGTCTGGCCTGGTGTACAAGTCTGGCCTGGTGTACACGTCTGGTCTGGTGTACAAGTCTGGCCTGGTGTACAAGTCTGGTCTGGTGTACAAGTCTGGCCTGGTGTACAAATCTTGTCTGGTGTACAAGTCTGGCCTGGTGTACAAGTCTGGCCTGGTGTACAAGTCTTGCCTGGTGTACAAGTCTGGCCCGGTGTACAAGTCTGGTTTTGTGTACAAGTCTGGCCTGGTGTACAAGTCTTGTCTGGTGTACAAGTCTGGCCTGGTGTACAAGTCTTGTCTGGTGTACAAGTCTAGCCTGGTGTACAAGTCTGGTCTTGTGTACAAGTCTGGCCTGGTGTACAAGTCTTGTCTGGTGTACAAATCTGGCCTGGTGTACAAGTCTGGCCCGGTGTACAAGTCTGGCCTGGTGTACAAGTCTTGTCTGGTGTACAAGTCTGGCCTGGTGTACAAGTCTGGCCTGGTTTACAAGTCTGGTCTGGTGTACACGTCTGGCCTGGTTTACAAGTCTGGTCTGGTGTACAAGTCTGACCTGGTGTACAAGTCTGGCCTGGTGTACAAGTCTGGTCTGATGTACAAGTCTGGCCTTGTGTACAAGTCTGGTCTGGTGTACAAGTCTGGCCTGGTGTGCAAGTCTTGTCTGGTGTACAAGTCTAGCCTGGTGTACAAGTCTGGCCTGGCGCACAAGTCCGGCCTGGTGTACAAGTCTGGCCTGGTGTACAAGTCTTGTCTGGTGTACGAGTCTGGCCTGGTGTTCAAGTATTGTCTGGTTTACAAGCTCATCTCAAAATTGTAATGTAACAGTTCTGAGTTAGTCATAAACCTATTTAGAAGTCCACCCTCTAACATTTTTGTTGTAACATTTTGATGTTTACCAAATACAAGGTTGAATGGGGTATAGCTGTTGTAGCTTGCTGAAGGCACCGAGAGTAGTTTACAGTATTTGTTGGGAGTGCTTAAAACCACTTGTTTAAAACTAGATCAGTGTTTCTCAAAGTAGCGCCAATGTGGGAAGGGGGGGGGGGGCAATTTTATGGTTAAGGGGAGTAATTTGGAAATTCACTCGTCTAGAGTTTGAGTATTAGGTATCTGTTACATAGTGGGGGAGGAGGGGGGGGGGGGCATACACATTTTAGAAAGGCTTAGGTGGAGAATGGCACTAAACAGTTTGGGAAACACTGATCTCGATGGAAAAGGTATGCATTTTATACGTACCATTCAATCAACCAATCAGGTTCCGTCTCCACGGTGAATGCTGGCTGCAATGTATCTCCATCATGCTCTGTCTCTTGTCCTGGTTGTACACTTTCTTAGACTGCTGTCCGTCCATCTCTTGATGTTGTCTTCTCACTTGTACCGTTGCCTACCTCTTGCTCTCTTGCCTACGACCTTTCCCTCCAGTATGGAGTAATCGTACCATTAAGTCAACACCTAGTTTTAGGAATGTTTTTCCCCCATGATAACTTATCTCATGCGCCACAATTTACAATAACTTGATGGTCTCTTCCTCAGGTATGGGTCCTATGCCATGGACAATCAACTCAGAGATCTACCCGCTGTGGGCCCGCAGTACAGGAAATGCTGCCTCCACGTTTATGAACTGGACATTTAATCTGATCGTATCCATGTCTTTCATTAGTCTCACGGAGACCCTAACCAGATATGGTGTGTTGTTATTGTGTGTGACCAGTCAGTTAGATCATGCTCTTGAATTCATTTCAAGCTGGGGTTTTAAAATAATTACCTTGGCTCCAAGGTTGATAAGCCTGCAATAGGCTTAAGGGAAATTATAGAAAGAAAACACAGCCTTTATGGAGTGCTGACTGGTTTAATTGGATACAAAATGCATCTACTTTTCCTGCAACTGTTACTATTACGATACACGTAATACTACTGTGGCAGTTATTACTAATCCCCCCCCCCCTTTTTCCCCTACTACTACTGCTGCTGCTACAGTTATCACTAAAAGTATTGCTAAAGAAAGAGGGGGACAAATTTAAAATATAAACTAAGTGGAAATATGCAAATTTAAACTGAATGGACTGTCTTGTTATAAGTGTGTTTGAGTTTGCAATTTATTACGGTTTATATTTTTTATTATATATAAAAATTTTGCCAAAACAATGTATATACATCTATGGAATTTTGTTGTCCACGTTTTGTAAAAGGTTCTCTTAGAATATACCATTGCTAATATACTTACATCCACACTAGCATCGGCACTTACTACAACAATATACTAATAGTTACACATGCCCTTTTTTTTTACAACTGATGATGAGTATAAAATATTTTAGCATAGATGCATCAGTATCTTTTAAAGGCTTGGGGTCTCAAATGTTTGTAATGCCAGCCTTAGAGAGACGGTTTTTCCCACAATGTATGTAAAATTATTAATAAGTATCAATAGAGCCAGATTTAAACTGAATGAGGCTCTAAGATGTATGTGTATATAAAGCAGGACTGTTCTAATGCATGGACTCGCTGGGTACTTGCTAGAGGCCTCATGCTAATTTACCATCTATATGTCATTCCCCTGAACGGTAGGGGCCCCAGCACACTGGTTTGAATAGGGACCCACAATGCTGTTGACACAGCCCCCCCCCCCCCCCGATATACACCTCTGAGTTGTCCCCCTTCCCCCCCCCCCCCCCTTACCCTTAACAGCAACAAAAACTCAGGGGTCTGGTCTCTCGTTGCCTTTTATACCAGCATATCCTAGGACAAAAATGAAAGTGATTTTGTGAAACGTTGCGTGTTGTATCAGATCGAACCACTGTTTCCGTGTATGCCCCGCTTTGATCTTCTGTTGCATGCTCAGTAGGTCGCTGATATAAAATGTCAGATGATGCAATAATTGAAACTGATGCTCTGTGTTACACAGGAACATTCTGGTTATACGCTTGCTTAGCGTTTGGTGGCGCAATCCTGCTGGCGCTGATATTACCAGAGACCAAAGGACGCTCACTGGAGGAAGTAGAGGGTCTCTTTGCAAGGTTTGCAACTTATTTTGTTTAGTCCGTGCCTTGTGGCATTATCAGTTCATGTCTATCCACAGTATTATGTGTTGTATACTGTTAGTCATTTCTGATACTTCTGTGGTTTTTTTTTTTTTTAAGCGTTAACCAGCTGTAAACTCCGGTGGGAGGTTATGATTGTTTGTCCACTTGTGGTCGGTAGTCCGGTTCCAGTGTTCAAGTTCTGTCTGCATATTCATTTAACTGATCTGGCTTATTTGTATGCAGACTGTTGGTTCCTAATTAGTAGCCTTGTCTGATATTCTTGAGTGAGTGAGTGACTTTCTACCCCACTAGGACATCACACAAGCGATAAACACCCGATGACACAAAGTGCCACCATGTGGATGAGGATCACCGTGGAGAGGTCCCAGAAACCGCGTTCAGACATTTGGCCATTTTTATGACCTGCCTATATTGCGGCCCCTGGCAAAAGCCAGAGTGGGGCTTCAAATAACAAAAAAATTCGTCCTGAAAAGGACGAAATTTGGTATTAGTAATTTGATATTCTTGTTGCGAGGACGTAGAAGGGAGGGGGAGGGGCAGCGAATAGTGGACTTCCCCCTCCCCCCCCCCCAAAAAAAAAAGCAAAAAAAGATGCATGTATTGATCGGCACACACAGAAAGAAGTGGAAAGATAAAAGAACACACTAGACAACATAAACACATACAATTACAATTACCGTGCCGGAAATCAGACTTATCATTTCCTAATAATGACAGTGCCTGACTGCATGAGACCGCATAAGAAGCATGACCAGCTAAGCACACCTAAAAAATACTCTTCAATAGCCATGTCTGTCTATAGCTTAACCCCACAACTGTTTAATACAGAATTCTTACAGGCAATGACTCTGAACTGTTCAGTCTATTCCCTCTCGACTTCTGTCTGCATCTCTTCCACTCCAGTTTTTAAACTGGCATTGGTTGTCCCTTGTCATGATACGATCAAGGAATGTAGATCGTCTCCTTCTGATGACAATAGTCAGTTCTATTCAGAAGAAAATGTTTGGGGAGACATCTTTATTGCACTTTTATGTTCCTTCAGTGTTCTTCTCATAATTCATCTCTAAAACCTATTTGCAGATTCAACACATTTTTTTTTTTCAATCATCGGCTGACTATACAACAGTCATTTCAACATTCATCAACAGGCGCTCTGTGGTCAACAATACCATCATGTGCCATGCCAGCTGACATTGTCATCCATATCTACCCGCCAGTCTGTCCTCACTGAGCTGTAACATCTTCTTCTACTTCTTCTCCTTCTCCTACTCCTTCTGCTTCATCTGCTCCTCCTCCTTTTCCTGTTCCCGCTTCTTCTTCTTTAACTCATCCATTTCCTCCTTTTCTCCTTCTTTTATTTCTCCTTCTCCTCCTCCTCTATCTCATCCTCCGTCTTCGTCTCCTTCTTCTTCTCCTCCTGCTTCTTCCTTTTCTTCTTCCCTTCTTTTTCTCTTCTTCCTTCTTCTCATCCTCCTCTTCGTTATCTTTTTTCCTCCTCCTCCTTCTTCTTCTTCTTCTTCTTCTTCTTCTTCTTCTTCTTCTTCTTTTTCCTTTTCTTCTTCTTCTTCTTCTTCTTCTTCTTCTTCTTCTTCTTCTTCTTCTTCTTCTTCTTCTTCTTCTTCTTCTTCTTCTTCTTCTTCTTCTTCTTCTTCTTCTTCTTCTTCTTCTTCTTCTTCTTCTTCTTCTTCTTCTTCTTCTTCTTCTTCTTCTTCTTCTTCTTCTTCTTCTTCTCCTGCTGTGTTTACCCTCACAGAGGTGGTGGCACTGTGGTTTACAGCTAGGCTGCAGTATATGCGCCCTTTGGTCCAACACATCAGATTTCAGCAAACTCTTAATTAGTGGCCATTTACGACATGCTTGTTAGAGGGATGTGGGTCTGATCCCTTCCCCTCCAAATCACACCCCAGAACGCACACAGGACTGTGCTAGGTCAGTTCTGTTTTTAATTCCTCATGGCACCATCTCGAACCATCTAGCATAATTTATATTTATCTCTCCCGACCTCTTATATCACTGAACAAATCATCACAGTGTTTTCCATTGCCTCCTGATTCATTACACATCCAAAGAAGAATGTTTGTATCCTACTTGAAAAAAAAAAGAATTCTGATCCGTCACCACAATGAAGGTTGGCTACAATCTACGCATACTGTCTTTGGATATGCTACATGGCCAGACTCAAGCCTCTTCCGCGATGCAACTCGCATACTTTTCTCCGATAGACACAAATGGCATTTTTTACGAATAAAATAATCCATCTCCCACAGATGTAGTCACATATGCTTTTCTTTCATTACCTTTTCCTTATTTGCTATACTCATATATATATATATATATATATATATATATATATATATATATATATATATATATATATACATACATATATAAATATAACCTGGCTCGTAACACCATAAAAACAATGTATAAAACACTGATAAAACCAGATGTCCTATGTGGCATTGAAGCCTGGAGTACAGCTAAAAATTACAGTCTTTGAGTAAGGAACAACAACGGAATTCATAAACTATCTAAATCATCACCAACTGCTGGCATCATGAAGGTTAATATAGGGTTTTCCAACAACCAGTAAAACCCCAGTGTTGACTTTGCATCGTAAAAATAGATATCAAATATTACCCGGAATGTTGATTAAATTGCCTTTGATTTCATATACTCTTATATCAGTTTCGCCATCAAAGACATTCAACATTTTAGGACAAGATCAGTATAATGCAAAGCAATATTGATAGGCAGATTTATTACTTAAGGTACCGACGGCTAACACATTAGTCTGTATTCCAGTGTAAGTGAATATCCATGACTATTCCTTGCTTCCCTTATGGGTCCCAATATCACAAAATGATTGAACAACTTATCAGATGATTTGCCTTTTTCCAGGTCATGGTTCACAAGTTCTTGGTTTGGCAACTCTTCAGACCCCATCCCTGCCATCAATCCACAGACTGTTCAGTATGTTCACATACGAGGACTCAACCGTGACGGACGAGAATCAGAGCTCGATTCACCAGAATAGCATTTGTCATTATCATGTATCATTTTGTTACATAAACTAAGCTTGTTAATGTTGCTAGAGTATGTGTATCTCCTTAGCTTGAGTACGTGTATCACCAGTTTCAGGTTATATTTAACTAAGACGACAAGGGAAGTGCAACCTTAAAGCTTAATATTATGGAATGACGAACCAGGCCCTTAAACATGTTTGGCACTTGATTCAGGAGAAAAGTTCCAGCAGTCAGACAGACAAACCACTTCTCTTCTGATCAGGTAGCTACTGCAGCATGCCTTGTTCCAAACATATTGATGTTAACTTTTATTTGAGTGAACAAGGCAGACAGATATGGATCATGCTGTATGAACAACACATGATCTTCACAATACTGTCCACTATGGAGGGAAGGAAATTTATCCGTGACCTTAATGAGTATCACCATGGGCTGTGATTCCCATCCCGGCCTATTGTACAATGGAGCGCTGTCGTATGGAAAGAAGCAGAGGTGTCGGGTACATGCAGGGCCACTAGCCAAGTGTAAGAGGTGTCGGGTACATGCATGGCCACTAGCCCAGTGTAAGATGTGTCGGGTACATGCATGGTCACTAGCAAAGTGTGAGAGGTGTCGGGTACATGCAGGGCCTCTAGCCAAGTGTAAGAGGTGTCGGGTACATGCATGGTCACTTGCAAAGTGTGAGAGGTGTCGGGTACATGCAGGGCCACTAGCCAAGTGTAAGAGGTGTCGGTTACATGCATGGCCACTAGCCAAGTGTAAGAGGTGTCGGGTACATGCATGGCAACTAGCCAAGTGTAAGAGGTGTCGGGTACATGCAAGGCCACTAGCCCAGTGTAAGATGTGTCGGGTACATGCATGGTCACTAGCAAAGTGTGAGAGGTGTCGGGTACATGCAGGGCCACTAGCCAAGTGTAAGAGGTGTCGGGTACATGCATGGTCACTAGCCAAGTGTAAGAGGTGTCGGGTACATGCAGGGCAACTAGCCAAGTGTAAGAGGTGTCGGGTACACATATGGCCACTAGCAAAGTGTAACTGTTTATATTATATATGAATTTGTTATGTCAAGGGTGCTTTTGTGTTTAGATATTATCACAGTCCTGTACATGCATGATATGTGTGTGTGTTAATATATATGTGTTTGTGTGTGTGTGTATGTATATGTGTGTTTTGTGTGTGTGTATGTGAACGTATAAAAGTGTATAGGTAGATGTTCGTGCATGTGTGTATGAATGTGAGGCAGGTATATTTGTACACTCATATTCAGCCACTAAAGTTGTATACAACTAAAATAACAGGTTTAGGAAATTTTAAATTTTGAACACGTTTTTACAAAATAACATACAGCCCCTAACTACATAATAATTAGTAACTGTCCCCACAGTTTACTAAAATTTCCCACTGTAGTTTGGGGAAACTCCTTTTAGGAGGAACAGTTAATAGCTCTATTGCCCCTTAACCTAATTAGTTGTGTATCCTTTACATGAAGATACACAACCAATCCCAGCCTGTTTTTTTTTTTTCTATTCTGGTTTTTCTAGGCAAATTTTATGTTCAGTAGTTTGCAATCGCTTCCAAACGGCCAGCTCTCGGTACCACTGTCCAAGCCAACGCAACACAAGGCAGTCTGCTACCAAGTCGTCTACAGCTGGAATCGAACCTGGCACACTGGCATTACGCAGCACGGTAATGCCTAAGCCACAGACACCGACCACTTAACAAGCATATCGTAAAAAGTGACTAATAAATAGTTTTATGACAATAATTGTGTGTACTGAAATACGCAGCCTAGTTGTCAACTGCCTCATAACTAACCCCCCAAAAAAACATTTAACATTTTTTTTTTTGGTGCGCAGAAGAAGAAAAAAAACTTCAGTTCAGTTTGGCCACTAGTACAGTGCATTCATCTCTCATCATCATCAGGTGCCTTGCGGACTGGCGTGGGCGATCATGCCCACTCATCTCTACACAAGTTAAATTGTCTGACACTGATCCATTTATTTTACCTATACTCATACCACACCAAACAAATTAACACACACTGATCCATACCTTCTTATCTATACAATCATTATATACCATTTAAGCTCCTGTTGATAGCTCATCAGCTTTTGGACTTTTGTCTTGTTCCAAAACTTGATTTTAGCTTACACGTTTGTTTAACAGATCTGGCTTATTTGTATGCAGACAGTTGCATCTTTAACTCTCAGACTGGTGCACTCTGACTTCACAGGAAACACTCGTAATTAAAAGACTTTTGCGACATGGTTGTTAGGGGCAAGGATTCTATTCAGGCTTTGCATCATAAAGGTACTCAGCAACCTGCATAGGGTCTATATTCGATAACAGACACTTGGTTTTTTTTAACCTATTATATCTACCCATTGTTGGCTCTGTGGCTAAGTCGATGCGAACGCTTCGTAATGCCGGGGTACCGGGTTCGATCCCAGCTGCGGGCCATACGCCTTGCATTGGTTTCGACAGTGGTATCAGGGAGCCGACCGTCCAGGCGCAATGGCAAACTACTGGACGTAGATTTGCCTATTGAAACCACACAACAACCAGGGACTGATGGGGTCGGTTCTGCAACGTCCTGTAAAAGATACGCAACTAACCTTTATATCTAACCATTAATTTAGATCCTATATTCCATAGAATTGAATTTTTTTTAACTTACTCGGTCTCCCAAATGCCCAGCTTGGCCGCTCGACTACCCGGAGGATATTGCGTCGGTAATCTGGACTGAACGGGAAAACCCCCAGAAAAGTTTTTTTTTTTTTTTTTTTATGTTTGGCTTTGCTGTTTAAGTTTTACCCATGACTTGGTTTTGTGAATGAACCCGGTCCCTTTGGCCAGACCAGTGCAGCACAGTTACACTTTGATCTTAGCCTAAAGGCCGAGAAGCGATCCTCATTAAAATTTTAACCCCTTCATATTCAAATATGATCTGCTCTGCAGTAGAATTTCCAAAGGTAGGTAAGGTAGATAAGTTGTACCCCATCAGGACATCACACAAGCGATAAACACGCAGTGACACAAAGTGACCCCGTGCGGATGAGGATCACCCGTGGAGAGGTCCCGGAAAACCGGTTCAGCCGTTAGGCCATATTTATGGCCGGGCTTATTTTCAGGGCCTGCAAAAGCCGACGTGGAGCTTCAAAATAACAAAACAAAATTGCATCCTACAAGGGGAGGCTTGTGCATAAACAGTTTCAAAAGGTAGGTAGGTAGGGACTTGTACCCCACCAGGACATCACACAAGCGATAAACACGCGGTGACATAAAGTGCTACCATGCGGATTACGATCACTCGTGGAGAGGTCCCTGAAACCCCTTTTAGCCGTTAGGCCACATCCATGGCTAGGACATATTTATGGCCCGACTACATTCAGGGCCGCCGGCAAAAGCCAGGGTAGGGCTTTAAATAACAACAACAACAAAAATCGCATCCCACGAGGAGACGACATGGCTAATTTCGAAAGCTAATAACAGTTTAAGTAATTACTGGCTGGATCTGATAGAATCGAGATTTCAATAAAAAAAAAAAATAGTTGCTATGGATAGAAAATATTGAAGCAATGACTGTGTGAGATTGAAAGAGTTAATAATGTTGTATGTCTATTTCCTTCAGTCAGATATGCAACAAAATGATCTGCTTCATTTAGCTTACAATGATCATGAGAAACAACCACACTTAAGTTTTTCTGTGAATATTTAGTGCACATTTTACTGAGGAAATATCATATTTGTGTTGGTTTGAATTAGGATATTTAGATTATATATATATATATATATATATATATATATATATATATATATATATATATATATATATATATATATATATATATATATATATATATATATATCATCCTCTTGTGGGATGCAAGTTTTCGTTATTTGAAGCCCTGCTATGGCTCCTGTTAGGGGCCGCAAAAAAGCCCGGCCATAAATATGGTCTAATGGCTGGACGGGGTTTTCTGCGACTTCTTCACGGTGATCCTCATTCACCTGGTGGCACTTTGTGTCATCGGGTGTTTATCGCTTGTGTGACGTCCTGGTGGGGTAAACACTACTACTACTACTACTGCTACTACTACTACTACTACTACTACTACTACTACTACTACTACTACTAATACTACTACTACTACTACTACAACAACAACAACAACAACTACTACTACTACTACTACTACTACTACTACTACTACTACTACTACTACTACTACTACTACTACTACTACTACTACTTCTACTACTACTATATATGTGTGTGGGTAGGTACAAGGTTAACCAATGTGTAAGATTTTCATTTGAGGAAACTACGGTGTATGTGTATATTTTAAGGTTGAAAAAACGGTTAGATTTTCCACTGAGAAAACTACCACAAATGTATGTAATAAAACTTCAATTAACCGTCACTCGTTAAAAACTATCGGTTTATGTTATCCGTCATCGTCTTCTTCTTCTTCCGCATTTTGAGCCCTTGAGGTTCATTGCTGCAGATATCACCAGCCTCTACTCTTTTCTCCGGTTGGCCTTCTCTTTTCAACTGGTGACACCAAGTGTTTGTAGGTCTGTCTGGATAGTATCTCTCCATAATCTACTTCGTCTGCCTCGTTGTCTACGACCATTCAGCATTCTTGTGTATACAGTTTTTACTTCTCTTTCATCTGACATTCTTTCAATATGCCCCAGCGATTTCAGTCTATTAGCTCTCATGATGCCAGTGATCAATGGAGATATAAACAAACTATAAATTTCGTTGTTGCTTCTCACTCTTCATTTCCCGCAGTTTGCATCTTTGATAGGTCCAAAGATTCGTCATAAAAACTTTTTTTTTTTAATGTGTAATAAGATTTCATCTTATTTAGTTGTGCTCCAAGTTTTATAACTACATGAAAAGAAGGGTCTTCTCGACGTTTTATATATTTTGATCTTGGTGTTGCGAAAACAAGACTTTATTTGTTTGTTATGTTTTGTTTTAGTATCCAGAAGCCATGAGTTG